ATCCAGCCACTGAGCTCCTCCGAGGTGGACGATCTCATCCACAAGGCGGATGAAGTCACGCTGAGCGAGGCAGGGCCCGTGGCTGGGGCAGCGGAGACCGGGGGGACGTCGGAGGAGGCCGTCCGGACCACCACACCCTCCAGGCGGGAGATCACCGGAGTCCAGGCGCAGCCCGGCGAGGCCACGTCCGGCCCACCGGGCATCCAGCCTGGCCAGGAGCCCCCGGTCACCATGATCTTCATGGGGTACCAGAATGTGGAGGATGAGGCAGAAAGCCAGAAAGTGCTGGGGCTGCAGGACACCATCACGGCGGAGCTGGTGGTCATCGGGGACGAGGCCGAGCCCAAGGAGGCCGCCCCCCCCAACGGCAGTGCGGCCGAGCCCCCGACCACTTCCGGCTCCCGGGAGGAGAACCAGGTGGGGCCCGAGGCCCCTGCCAGCGACACCCAGGACCTTGACATGAAGAAGCAGCGTTGTAAATGCTGCTCCATCATGTGAGCCGCAGGCCCCAGACCCCGGCCCCACCCTCCACACCACAGAGACCCACAGCCCGGCCCCGGGGCCTGCCCACCCTCCACCCACAGTCATGGACCCCAGGACATGCTATGTTGTCACATCTTCCTTCTGAGAACAGGAAAGAGAGGGTCAGGGGTCCCGTGCCCATTCCCACCCCGACACGCCCTAAACCACTGAGCTGTGTGCCTGGTAGGACAGAGACACGGACAGACCCACTTCTCCCAAAACGAGGATCCCCCACGAGTCACGGCAGCTCCACAGATGGGCTTGTGCCCACAGAGTTCCTGGCTGGGGGGACCCAGGCCTCTGTGCCGCCCCAGGCAAGCCCGCTACCCTCTGGGCCTCCTGCCTGTGCCTTTCTGCCGCCTCCGGTGAGGTCTCCGAGGGGACATCGCAGAGAGGGACCGGAGAGCCAGGGGTCCTGGGCGCCTTTTCTGTCCCCACTCAGCCCCTGGAAGTGGGGTTCCCCGGCAAAGGCACTGGTGTCGGGATCTTGGGCAGTTGGGGTGAGGCTGTGCCTCATGGGGGAGCCTCAGTCGGAGGCCAGGCTCCGGTTCTTAGAATAAAGCGGGGGCCCCTCTGGCACCCCAGCCCAGTGTGCCCTCCCCTTGATGCTCTCCATGGGCGTGACCAGTGCACGATGGGGCCTAGGAAGGGGGAGCCCAGAGGACGCACACCCCACCTGGGGGAGTCTCTGACCCCTGTGCTGTCTTCTGGATGGGGCCGGTGAGGGTCTTCGAGCTGCACCCTGCAGAAGGCAGGGCCATGTGAGCCACTTCTTGTCCTGAGCTCCCACCCTCACTGGGCCCTCCTTCCTCCTGGTGCTAATTTGAGGACCCTGGGGGGCTGCCCCAGCCCATTCTCCAGCCTACTTGGGCCAGAGTCCTGGGTCTCCCTAACCATACCCCAGAGATCAGGCCGACTGCCAGCTCTGCTAGGCTTGGCACATTCTGGGCAGTGGAGGGGCCCACAGCCTGGGGCAGGGAGCGTCCCCTGGTTGCAGCAGGAGACCCCCATTGGCTACCCAGCCCAGTGTGAGCCTCCCCCCACCTCGTTGGAAGGGGTGAGGGGTGACGGACTCTCCACTGGGTAGCTGACACCCAGGTGTGCACACACCTCTCCCAGGTTGCAGCCACACTCATCCTCTGAGGCACATTCATGCCCACGCTTACGCACCCTCTCCTGGGTAGGCTATAGGATGAGCAGGCCCCATCTTGGGCCCCTCCCCTGGGCCCCCACTCCTGGTGCCCAGGCTGAGGCAGCCCCCTCACCACTGCCTCCGAGGAGCCACGCAAGGGCTGCCTGAAACCAGCCCGGCCTGTCTCAGCTCTGCCCCTTGGGGGTGGGAGGAGAGGCCCTCTCTGAGGCGGCCCCCAGCAGTGGCATGGACCCCCTCCCTCCTCGAGCCGCCAAGTCCTCGAGCCGAGAGCCTACGCTGAAGTGCCCTTGCTGCCCCCTCTGCTTTCGATGTGTGACAGGCCCGTGTTCCTGACTTTCCCAGAGAAGCAAATAAACCCCGTGAACGCCCTGGGTCCTGGAGTTCTTGCTTTCTCTGGGGCCGGGAGGATGTGGCCAGCCAGGGGGTGGGTGGGGCCCGCCTGGGTGGCCTTAAAGGGAGGCTGCGTGGGGCCCTGCACTCCTCCAGCTCACCTGGGACTGAGGTGGGGACATTGGTGGAGGCCACGCCTACGCTTGAACACATCCGAGCAGCACCTGGGCAGGTAAGACCGGGAGGTAAAGGGGCAGCAGCCAGTGGCAGGACTTGCTTTCTGTTTCCTGTGGAGCCCTCCATTCCAGACCCGCCCTGCCCCCTCATCCCTGGGCGGGGAGGCTGCCCCTTGCTGGCTCGCAGCACCCCAAGAAACCGAAAGGATCCCACAGACACCCCCGGGTTCTAGAGGGAACCGGCCCCTGAAAAAATAGATGGGGCCATGGGGGAGGACACAGTTATGGGGGCTGCAACCCCATTTGACCCCACTGTGACTGGGAAAGTCGCTGTCCCCCTGGGCCTCAGTTTGCCCATCTGTTCAATGCTTTGGACCCTGAGTGGGCCCCCCGTCTGGGAGCAGGACATTGGGTGCTTGTCTCCACAGTGCTCCCAGCACACCGGGTGACAGTCTCTGCCGACTGGAGCCTCAGTTTCCCCAATAGGGCGGTAAGGGTGGTGGGCAGGTTCCAATCCCAGCCCCAGGTTTCGCCAGAACTGGCCCATGTTGAACGCTCCAGCTGTCCTTCTGGGCTGGGTCCTGTGTCTGGACCTGCCTCAAACCCTCATCCCAGGCAGGCCGGCCCGGTTTGGGGCTCAGGCCCACTCGATGGAAGAAGAGACTGAGGTTGAGAGGGACCCTGCAGCCAGCCAAGGGCAGGACACAGCCCCCGCCCAACCTACGGTGTCCCCGGCCCCGTAGACTGGCCACTGGTCCCGGTGCCCTGACTTCCCTGTAAACACGGGGCTCCTGCCGCCCTGGCCAGGCTCTGCACCTCAACCAAGAATCGGGGGGACAGCTGAGCCCCTGGGAGGACCCGCCGCCCAGTTAGGGCCTCTGGGCTCCGTGTGGCAGTGGGACCCGGGCCGTGCCCACCACCACCATTTCTGCCACTTTGGGTCTTCAGTCGGCTCTTTATGTCCGATCCCAGCGGCCGGGCATCCTCCCCGCTGTGTGACGGCCCGTTTCATGGAAGGGAACAGGCTCAGAGAGGCTGCGGGGATTTGAACCCGGACCCGCTGAATCGGAGCTTGTCCCAGAAAAGGACTCTGGGGGAGTAGCCCCAAAGGTGGGTGGAGCCAGGTGGCACCATGGCGGTCTGGGACTCCGACCCCACACCCCAGAAATGGGCAGCTGGTTCCTGTACCTGCTCTGTGGCCCTGGGCACGATGTCCCCTCTCTGCGTGGCACTGAGGGTGTGGGAAAGCCAGGTGGCAGCTAGAGGGCGGTTTCGGGTGAATTCCAGCTCCGGGGGCTGGAGGCCCTGGGGGCAGAGTGCAGTGGGCATGGTGCCTGGGTGTCCGCTTTCTCCCTCCTCCTCCGGACTTTGTTTCCTGATCCTGGGTGGGGCCGAGGAGGAGGGAGTGCACCTGCCTCCCTTGGGTGGGGCCTTCCCCTGGCAACCTGAGGGAAGGGCGGCGCCGCCAGAGTGGAGCCGAGGCTGGGACGCTGCTGGGGCCTGGAGCTGGCAGGTGAGACGGGGGGCGTGGGGGCAGGATGCACTCAAAGCGACGGCGGGGTGGGCCCCGCCTGGGGTGGGTCAGTTTTTGGAACGGGGATTCCTGTGTCAGTTGGCATCATCCGCTCACCGGTGGGGCCCTGGGGAAGCAGGGGGAGAGGCACTCCATTCTCACCCCATACTCCTCTGGACCCAGCTGGGGTCCCAGGGGCTGGTGGGGTTCTCCCATTGTTCTTCAATCCCGTTGCTCTGAAATATTGAGGTCTGTGTCCTTCCTGCCCCCCCTCCGCCTCCCCCTCTCCCCCGGCCCCTGCCCCTGCCCCCGCCCCTGCCCCTGCCCCAGGGAGCAGAGAGCCCATCCCTGAACCTTGCTAAGGTCTCAGTCTCCACTCGCTGACCGGGTCTTCAGCTGAGAACCCGGCGCCCCGGGCCATCAGAGAGATGAGTGTGCATGAATTTTTGACCAGAGGCCAAACAAGCACAGATC